ACAGAGGAAAGACAAAGCATCCTTACATCATCCTCTGGATTTTTATTTAGCCTGTCCTAAGCCTCCTATGAAGGGTATTTCAGAATTTCTCTATCTAGCTTCTTCCACTACATAATTAGTTTTTTTTCAACAGGAACACAGATCACAGAAGAAAATGCATAAAAGGTGGTTGAAATTTTTGTCAGCTTGCAGAACTCAAAGTTTCTACTGCCCAACAGCTGACTGAAGGCCTGTGACAAAGTCTTGTGGTCTCAATCGACTGCCTAGTTCAAGTGCCATTATGACAGAATGCTATTACACACAGCACGCTGCACCTCACAGTGAGCTCCAACTAGATACCGAGGCATCCTTATGCAGCAGAGGTACAATCTGCAGGTGTAGGTTGATGCTTCTGGAGAAACTTGAGTAAATTATAAGGAGAGCTGGAAGAAAGATAATCACATAGTTTAATCTGGATCACATAAGTGCACAGGACAGAAAAATGTATTTATTTTGCACCTGTTCAAGGTCAAAAATGACTATACTAAAACTACACAAAAAACCCACTTGACCGTAATGCTGGGCTGAAACTAACGGCATTTTTTTCCACTTAGAATATAAGTCCTCAAATTAAAAGGAAGTATTAATTGATTCAAACCATCATTTTGAACTGCAGTTCTTGTGATTCTGACAATTTTTCCTTAAGTGCCATTCCCTGAACTACAGTAATTATTGAAAAAGTATCAATTTTCAGTAGAAAAAAAATAAATCTCTCTCTACTGCAGGGAAAGCCACACGATTTAAAAACACAAGATCCACAGTTTTTCATAGATTGGTCAAGACTTCAAATACTGACAAAGTCTTGACCCCATTTAAGTCACTGTTAGGATTTAAAAGATTTCATCTAGGATAACTGAACTGTTGCAATTGTTAATACTGCTATTTAACATCTAATGCTTAAAAAAAAATAAATTAAAATTGACTCTTCTTGAGTGATCTCTACCTAAGCATCAAAGCTAATATTTGCAGACTGGAGATCCAAGTTTGCAAACATACTATGTGGGAACCCTGGACAGTGATCTCAGAAGCGCCGAACACAGAAATGATCACAGTTCAAAGGAAACTGCAGGCACTTGCTACCGAAATGTAGGGGCCAGCTGTCACATAAAACATGAGGTTGTCTTGCAAAAAACAAGTTTATAACTTCAGCCAAAGCAATACCATCTACAGAAAGGGTCGCAAAAACTTTTATATTATTGTCCAGTGCAATTTGAATTCTTGCACTTAATTAACTACTAAATTTTACTTTGACTTTATAGCAGTAATAGTACTCATGATGCAAACATAGTGGAGGAAGACAATTAAAAACTACTACATTAAAATTTAAGTTTTACTGTAGAAGTTCTCTGAACTCACTCCCCTTACATGAAATGCAAAGTTCACTCATGTAGAAGCAGCAATAGTCTGACACTTGAACTCAAATGGACGTTCTAGGATTTTAGATAATATTTTTGTATTACACTATGGTGTTATAAAACCGGACTTAGAAGTACATCTAATTTATGATAGCTTTCAAGGGCTGTTCACAGATTGACTGGCAGAGACTGGATCAAGCAATGTAAGTACTAATGTCAACAAAGTTAATTGACCATTTCTGAGATTAGAGTATTGAATACCCAGTGACTGCCTGAGATACAATCACACACACTGCAGGAAAAAGAGCTTGCATAAGGGGCGTGGGTACAACAGCAGATAGCCAGAAAAGCCCAAATCTTCCAAGTGAAGTACATAAACACTATCTCCATTTGTGTCTTGGTATTTTATCACCTTCCGGAAAAGATTTTTAATGCAGTTGGATGCTGTACATCCATTTCTAGATCTAAATCTTGTGTGTTGACGTAAGAGTAGAAAAATTAGCACATTTTCTTACCTAAGAAAGTGGGGGATGAAGGGGCAAGTCCTTTCACCCACATGACCATGTCAACTTTTACGTTCATTGTTAACCAGCTCTCCCATAGAGAAAAAGCTGACTTGAGAGATTTTCCTTTTTTTTTTTTCCACTTACCTACCCTTTAAGCCATTCATTGACTGATTTCAACCAGAGAAGAACAGATTACCAGCAGGTAATTGAGTTCTCATGACTTCTGTAAAATAAGCCAAGCCAGAGAAGACAAAACTGCATTTTGAATGTCTACAGGCCCACCCTCAAAAAATGTGCCATCCAGTTTCCGTAATTGAAAATGGCAGCCCACGTGTCATGCCATCCGTGCAATCTGTGGAAAGAGGGGACTATGTGGCAAAAATGTAGAGGCATATGGAAAGACAATGGAAAAATCCTCATTTGACCTCAAGATACAAATTCATAGCAATCTTCCTTATCTGCTGTTCAGAAACCTACCTCCTTGTTATAAACAGCTAAAGTACAAGTGTGTAAACACACTCCCCTAAAATGTAAACTTCTGGAGCCCAATCTCAGATAACTGAGCACATTTTATTTCTCTAAAACCCATCTATATTTAACCAGGAGAACTCCTTGCAACATGCAGAACAGTTAACAAACTGTATAGAGGACAGATTTATCAAAGAAAATGCAGTAGGACAGGAAACAACCTCTAAACTGCCCCTTCACCAAGGCTAACTAGCTGAAAACTGGCATTAGATTAACCACATTCATATTATCTCCAATCAGACTGACTCAATTCCAATCTGCTCAGTATAAAGTCACATCATCCTGAAAAATACTCAAAGATCATACTGTGGCACCATTCAGGAAGAGATTAGGTGCTGAAATGGAAAAGTAACTATATCTGCTGTTAAATTAGATTATAAATTTGTACAGAAAGACACTCTGTGACAGAAATTGAAAGCTAACTGCCTGACAGTAGGAAGGATTTCTCCCCATGGGTACAATATCCATTACAATGGTTCTCTGCTTTCTCTACAGTGTTGAAATTGGAGACTGCTGGATATACAACACTTGATCACAACTCCACCTTTAATCACCAATTTCCCTTGAAGGATATACATTTAGTACCCCTATCAAAACTAGCATGCATAAACCTTTCCCACATGCTTTCTTAAAGGAAAGATTTTTAAGCAAAGCCCATACAACTGGTATGTCCAGAAGCCCATAGCAAACCTTCTTTAACATCACAGAAGGTAGAGCTGGAAAGAGTCTGAAGGGCTCCACCTGAAACGGATCCTGTGTCTGTGCACATGGGGACCAGAAGGAATCAACTGTTTTTAAAGCAATTCTGATGGAGACTTCACAAACAGGTTCAGAAACCTGCCCATGGTAACTCCTCCCTCTCCACATTATTGAAATTGGCAGCCCGCTCAGAGAGCATCCAAACCAACACATTGAGAGATCATCTGTACACAAAGCTGAATTAAACTATGGCATCTCCAGGTCACCAAAACTTCTTCACTTCATGCAGCTCATTAGAATTGACAGAATTGCAACTAGTTGATATGGAACTAATGAAGATGAAACAGATTCACATTTGAATGTGTTTTCTGTGGAACTTGAAGTTTTCAGAAGTGTTACAGAAGTGCTCCTCCAGCCCTCCATCACAGTACTCCGCTGAGGAAATGGTGGGAAAAAGACTAAACTGGGCAAGAAACCACAGACCACGACCATAACTCTGTTATCTTAAATAAGGTAAAAACCAGGTTATATTGCATTCTCCACTGCCTTGTGCTTAAGGGAAAAGCATCAGCCTACAAAGCTTGTACATGTACACTCTAACCTTACTTGCACCACTCAGACACACAGTTTGATGTACAACATTTTGAGCAGCTTACCTCCCATCATCTAAGCCACCAAAATGAGTATGGACAGTATCACTTATTAACTCTGTATTATGCCAGGTTTTTAAAGATTTAAATCTAACTCAGTACAATGCCTAATTGGGAAACATCAACCAAAACAGTCAATCTTGCCACACGAGGAATGGATAATTAAACAAAACAAATATCTATTAGAGTTGTATGGTTGAGAACCAGTCTTCTACTACAAGATATTGCAAAGGCAAAGACAGATACAGAACCTACCCCAAAGAGTTTAATATATCAACTCCACTAACTTGTCATGCAGCCAGAGTGAGGAACATGAGAGAGTCCCTACAGTATAAACAGATAGGGAGGAACAGAGGGCAAAAGAGTTTGGGCTTCATATTGTGCCCTCAGCTGTCTGACTACTCATAGGCTTTCTGCAATAGGCTCCTGAAGCAGGTCAGGAGGATGGAACTGTCTCCTGGTTTTGTATAGCAACATCGATGCAGGTAACACCCAAAACTGCAGCGATATATAAAAATCACACAGTACTTTCTTCTGCTTAAGCTCTGCTCTACTGCTCAGAATACAACCTGACAAAGCATTTCACAGACTACACGTAAGCACCATGCTCAGCAGACACATCTGGGCTGTAACAAACCCACACTTTGACAGAAGACTGGAGAGCAGCTTAGCAAGAGTAATATTCTTACATTCCTTGAAGATATGTATAGAGAGAGAGATATAGATAGATATATACATGGAGAACAACATAAAGCTATGATTTCTGAGCTCAGATCAGACACAGCTAAATGCACACGCATTAGGAACCATCCTATCGAAACTGATCCTTCATACTAAAACACTTATTTTTCTATATATACATAAATATATATATCTGCAAATTAAACACCAACACACACACACACATTCCCCCAATGCAGCCGACTGTTGTATCTCCCACGCTCCCGGCCTAACAGGTCGCACAGGATACACACTTTGCCACACGCAGACGGTGGAGTGAAGGAGGCAGGGAGGGAGAGCTCCCTGGAAGACCGGATGGCTCACCGCTACCGCTGTCCCGTAGCATTCCAGCCCGGCGCTCACAGCCGTGGCAGGGCTCTCTTTCCCCCGCAGCCCAGTCTGCGCCTCGCCGGGAGCGGCTGCCCAAGCGCCGAGCTCGGGGAGCACCGGCTCCGTTTTCCGCCCCTTGCCCACCTCCGCCCAGGCCGCGGCAGCGATCCTACCTGGAGGCGAAGGAGGGCAGGAGCCGGCACGGCCCCGCCGCCCCCTTCCTCCCGCGGGCGCTCGGCGCCGGCAGCTGGGAGCGGGGCCGGGGCGGGGGCGCTCGGCGGGGCCGGGCAGGGCGGCGAAGTGCCGCCCGCCTCCTCCCGCTGCTGACTCAGGAGCAGGCGCCGTCCCTCCACACCGCTCCCGGGGGACGGCCGCCGCGTTCCGCGCAGGATCACTGCCCACAGACACCCCCCGAGCACGCACCGCCCGCCGCTGCTGCCGCTGCCCCGGCTCCGAGTCCCCGCCCCGGGAGGGAGCCACACCTGTGGGCAGCAGCAGCAGCACCCCTGGGAATGGCAGAGGACGGGTGGGAGGCGGCTCCCCTGCCACCGAAGCGTTGGTCCAGCTCTATCCCAAGAGGGACTGGGGGGGTGTTTTCCTGCCGGCAGTAAGGCGAGGAGGTGCCGCGCCTCCATCTTGAGGAGGGGGCGCGGGGGAGAGCGAGAGGCGCAGCCCCCTCGGCGGCCGCGGCACGGGTGTCCCGATCCACCCGCGACCCGGCTGCTGTGGGGCCGTGTTACCGTCCACAGTGCTACACCGAGAGGTTTTACTCTCCACAGACGCGACCTCGGTGCTGCTGCTGGAGATAAGCAAGCAGGACGTCTCCCAGGTCTGAAGACTTTAAGCACAGGGTCTGAAGGTGTTGAGCCAACAAGGTGTAGTGGGAAGGCAGCCGAGCCCTCTGCACCACTCCACTCTGTGTACCGTGGTGTCGCGGCTGGTCTGCCAAGGGGCCTCGAAAGTGGGATCCCACAGCGTCTGTATTGTTGTGCTTCGTGCAGGTCCCCATACCTTTGCCACCTGCACGGCTTTGGGCTGTTCTGTTTCCACGTGCAATGATTTGGCGACGCTGTCACTCCTGGTAGGGATTTTCCACAGTGACTGGCTGCACGGGGACAGGCTGCAGGAGGCTAGCAGCTGTCTGGAATGAGTTGTGCTGGGGCAAGCCCCTAGTCCATGCATCCTCATTCTACCGTCCTTCTGCTCCTTACTTTTCCAGATTTCTGAAAAATATTGGGCCTGGGATCCAATGCTGCTCATCTGGCAAAGTCCTACATCCTAATGACAAATATCTCAGTTTGAAGCCTCTATAAGAGCACCCATAGCTTATTCAGCACAGCTTTTTAATAAAATAGTCAGCATTTCTATGTCTTTGATTTTGCTCTATCCTAGTTCTTGCCTCATTCACATTTTCTGCTGAGAGCCATGTTGCAATCAGAACATGCAGAAATGGTTTGTTGATTGTTTCTTTGATTTTTACAGCTCCACTCCAAAATAATAGACCAATTTACATTTGGAAAGAGGCATATTTCTACTTAACACCAAAGTCCATCTGCCATTGAGAAATGGATTTTGTCCATCTCAGCAACGTTTTAGAACAAGCAATTTCATTTCTAAGTGAAATAAGATGCAAAGAGCAGTGAATTTCAAACTTTACATGCAAAGGTTTCATGCTGTTTTGCACCAGCCTGTCAAGGTCTCATATCCTCTGTTCAACCTGTTAGCAATGGTACCATATTGCCAGTTCTGTTTAGTCTTTAATGAATTGCCAATGCTTAACTCGGGGTAAATAGTATTTTGCAGGTAGTACAGGATGATGAAAACAAATTGTTCTAAAGATGTAAAAATGTTATCTCTTGGGCATACAACAGCTTTTACCGCCTCATCTGATTCCCACTTTACTGTCTGTTTTTAACAATGGTCTATATGACATTTCCTGAGCCTACTTAAATCTTCCTCAGTGTAGGGAGCTCATAACTCAGGCTTTTGCTCTATAAAGCAAGGAATGAAATCTCTGAACTGTAATAGTGGATTGCTTTTGAATATATATGGAAAAGCATAAAGGAACTGTGTGTTGATATTGTTTTAAATATATTTTTTGCTATATTGTTATGCCAATTTTGATTCCTCAGTTTCTGTGATTTCCGTGTGTTGGCTGTTTTGACCAGCTTATAGAGACTGAAGTCTGCTCATTTCAAGTGAAAAAGGATTGTGAGAATTCCTAAAAATTATTCTAATAACGACACAAAAGTATCAGTGAGAAGACTGCTATATTTTTGCCATTGTTGACCAATGCTACTTGACTTGGAAGAGGACATGTATGTGGAGAGAGGAAGCCTGCCTATCTTTCCTTTATGGCAGTCCCATTTCTCATGTCTTGCAGCCTTCCTGTGAGCACTGGGGGTTGATTTACTCACCTAGTGGGGGAAGAGGATTGTCCTCCAATGCTTCACGTGGTTGTATGATCCTAATTTTACTGACTGTAGAAGCACCAGATATAGTGGCACAATTTTTTTGTAATTATTTTCTCTGCAGGAAATATTTTTCACTTGTACGCTCAGTGTTAGTGCTTTTTGAAAGATCTGTGCAGGTATGCAAAAGACTTCTTAGCGCAGCATAGAGACAAGTCCTCTGCATGTCCCCTTAGGAGGTATCTACCACCACCTTAATGAACAGGCTGAAAAGGATGAAAGCAATAACTGTCCCTCTGCTTTCTCTGCACAGGAGTAGCTGATCCAGTCCCTTGACTTTCCAGATTGTCTTCTCTGTTGAATGCACAGGATGCAGCTAGTCCTACACAAGGGCAAAGGCATCAGAGCAAACAGCTCCCATTTGATAAACCAGCAGCAGCACCTGGTGCCTGTTCACAGTCTGCAAACTTCAGAAATGCTATGAAATAGTGAAACAGACCGTGAAGGCGGGTTCGCTGCAGATGGCTGACGATAAGATGGTATTTTCTTGCTGAGCCAGTTCTTGCCTTTCATATCATTGATAGATTAATACGCTTAACCCTCACAAAGTAATAGGCTCAGCATGCTGTAATGGTATCTGAAAATCATTAAAAGTTCAAAATGTAGCCTTCTAGTTAAATGTTGATCTGGTTACCTCCAGCTGCCTTCCCACACTAAGTGCATTCATTTGATCAGACAAAAGCCTCGTAAAGCTGTCATCACCCTGGACAACTAACTCACTGCCAGATATCCAGGGTCATTTTGGAGACTGCCTCTGACATGTATCCCCCACCACGGCCAAGTGGACCATATGAGCAGTTTCTTGCTGTGACAGGGAAGCCCTGGCCTGAGGCACAACATAACATTACTGTGGCATACAGGGAGGTTTATCCTGTAGCAGGTGGCTGGCATGGCCCTCCCAGTCCCCTTGCACCCTGTTCTCCTTCCAGCTCTTGCCTTGTTTGCTAAAGCAGCTGCTCTGAAGTTTTCCATGTAACATCTATTTCAAAAGAATATGCTACTGGGACATATGCTACTTTGGTCACATTACTTAACCTTTATTAGATTGTATTGTGCTTTTCTGAAAATATCCTTTTCCCACCTCCCATCTTAAACAGGTAAAACAACTTGATCTGTTACTGTTCAAAGGAGTGTCTGCCAACACTGAAAAAGAGAGTAGTATTCACCTTCAAGGCATCTGAGACAGATTTTTTTTTTTTTATTCTTCAATAATTTTAAGAATTTTTGAAAACTAGAATTAGGTGAGTTCCCCTTCTTGGCCACAACTCTCCAGCATGTCAGTTTTTTTGTCAGAAAAAACTCACATGTTTTTTCTACTGCCAGCCCAGGTAAAGCTTCTGCCTTGACAAATGATGTCTAAGTAGGTTTTTATTATCTCTCTGTCTCATCAGAGACAGTATCAGGAAATCTAGTAAGAGTGCAAAAGGTTAGAGTGACATGGTGTAATCCTTTTTTCTGTTGTTGAAGTATGTTATCTTTCATTGAGGCAGATGTACTTTTACCCTTTTTCTTAATCTAAACTGTAGTTCTACAACATTTCTGTATGTTAGTAGGTCGATTTCACCATGAGTTGTTGCAGATACAGTATTATTTTCATTTCAGCTATAATGTGGCAACATTCCTGCCCACTGCATCTTCCGTTTAAATGTCTTGATTTCTCAGCCTTACTGAAATGACAGCATTACACCGACAGCTTCTCTGTCTCTGGGGTTTGGTTTTCACTGGGCTGATGTTCCACAACAAGCCAGATTTCTGAGAAATAAAAACCTACTATTTATGAAACCTTATTAGTTAGTCTTCCTTTGTACTCTTAGTGAAGTTAGGCAGAGTCACTCTGTAACCCCTGCTTGGGGTTTACCTGCACTGGGCATTTTATGGTAGCATTTGCATTCACCATGTCTTCAGTCGGATTTTGTATTGGATTGCCTCCTGCTGGGTAAAAACACACCAAAACACAAACGTGATATCAGGAACCTCATGGAGATTTTCAAATCACATTGAGCTGATACAGAAAATCATGCCAATTACTGATCAAAACCAACCCATATGTTTCTGTGTAATTATTCCCATCTTTTTTGTCTTCTTGTTGATGATTTCCACTCTGTACATTGTTTTAACTTCTCAGTTAAGATCTATACAGACAATCGTGTCTGTATTCAGATCCAGAAATTTTGGATATGTCTTCTTTGTCCTTGTATACAATTGACATTCAAGCCTTTATAAGATGTGTGAGATTTATAGTTTAAATTGTCTATGTGCTTCCTTGTTGTAAAACAGATTTTTATTACTTACAAATTCAGAATTTTTACTATACTTAAGAGCATAAATGTTCTTTAGATGTATAGTTTTAATCATGATAACATGATTTTCTTTTTTTACTGTGGTTTGCTTCTTTTTCTTAAATCAATCTCATTATTATTTACTTCCACAGATGTTTAACATTTCCTTATTTTGTTATATCTGTTCTGTTTCAGTAATTTAAAGCTATTTTGATGTACAAGTGTTTAAAACTTTGCCTGGATCCTTAATAAAATAATGCTTCTGATAGTACAGGATTTTTTTCAAGGTCCACTGTTGTCATTGATTATCAATAGGAGAGGATTGCCGCATTTTCTTATATTCCTGTGTTTGTGTAAGTGCTTTGGGATGTATAGTTTCCATAACGTATCACTGAATCAGGAAAGGAATTCAAATTCCAAGTTGTAGCCTAATAAATACTTTGTTTGGTTTTACTTTTCTGGTTTTATCTGTTTAAATATTTATGGTGGGTTTTTACCAGTTTTAG